TATGGGGTCCACTAACAACCGTAGGATGTTTATGGTGTACACTATCAACTGTTGGATAAGTATGGAGTCCATTACCGCCCATAGGATGGGTATGGTGTCCACTACCACCCACTTGTGTGCGGTAGTGAACCCCATACCAATTCTTTGGATGGTAGTGGACCCCATACTCATCCTATGGGCGGTTGTAGGCCCCATACCTATCATACACTTGGTATTGGACCCCTTTACCCATCCTGTAGAGGGTAATGGACCCCATACCTACCCAGTGGACGGTAGTGGACCCATACCTATCCAGAGAGTAGTAGTGAGCCCCAAACCCATCCAGTGGATGGTAGTGGACCCCATACCCATCCAGTGGGTGGTAGTGAGCCCCATACCCATCCAGTGGATGGTAGTGGACCCCATACCCATCCAACAGGTGTAGTGGACCCAATATCCATCCTGTTTGCTGCAGTGTACCCCATAGACATTCAACGTCACATCCTTTTGACGTTTCTATAATCCATTCTCTTCGTTTTTCAAAGCCTAAACTATTGTATATAATGTTTGGTGCACGAACCATTATTATATGTAATAATTTATGAGTGCTTATAATAATTTACTGAGAAGCATCAAGATTTCTCATTAGTGCTAACCTTTAACAGGATGCACTGTAGAATAGTGGTTTAAATCATGGGTTGAAACATTAGGTGACGCAGAATGGAGATTAATTATAACGTTTTTTTTAACTATTTTAGTAAAGAAAGTTTGACCAGACCACACACTAGAAGGTGAAGGGACGACGACGTTTCGGTCCGTTCTGGATCATTCTCAAGTCGATAAAGTAATGGTACATACATTGAAAATGAGTTACCAACATAATGTTGGATTTCTAGATAGAGCTAGTACATACAATGCCTGAAGCAACTATTAATACGTACAGCCTTTCTGGCAAAAATATGGAATATGGAAGTACAGGGTGCGTGTGGTGGTACAGAGACCATGTGCTGGTAGTATTGGACCCAATACCGATGATGATTAAGATTAAGCCACCCAAGAGGTGGCACGGGCATGAATAGCCCGTAAGTGGTAAACCCAATACCCATTCTGTGAGTGTTATATGGTCCCTCTTCCCATTCTATGGGGGGGTTGTGGATCCCATACACATCATGTGAACGGTATTGGTCCCCATACCCATCCTGTGGGCGGTAGTGTAGTGTAATATAACCTAAACGTAATGTGTAATATGCCCGAAACGCATTGCGTAATAGTGGCTTTAGGCATTGTATGTACTAGCTCTATCTACATATCAATCCATTAATGTAACATCACTTGTATGTATATACCTTACCTGAATAAACATCTGAATCTGAATCTAATGGAAACTGACCAAACTATGGGATGGGTTAACCCAAGTATCGCGTTTTCAAAAGGGTCACCCATGTTAGAAAAGACGAACGCCGAAAGAATATTGTTGAAAACATCTTGATAACTTATTAAACCAAAATTTGTTATTAGTCAAAAGAAAGACAGAGACGCGATCTATATCTGTGCTGCTTTTTCAACCATGTTCTCCCCTCTTTTACCTCTATTTTTATTTGTTCTCAACACATTTTATTCTTTTTACCCATTAGTTTTAAGCTTTAGTCATTAATGTTTTTCCTGCCCGAAACGCTTTGCGTAATAGTGGCTTTAGGCATTGTATGTACTAGCTCTATCTATTAACCCAACAAACTTTGTAAAATCTCTTTATGTATGTACCTTACCTAAATAAACATTTATTTATTTATTTATATATATAAAACCTCTACCAGACAAATATTTTAAGTAAAACCGAAGATATTTGTAGTTGTATAAAGTGGCAGTTTTCGTCGCTCGTCGAGCTCGAAACCCGCTGTATTCATCTCAGAACTATGCCTATTTCACGCAGATTCTTTAATAAACGTAAGAGTTTTATATGTCGCAATAAAGATAGAAATATAAACTTCATTTTAAATACCTTACCATGTGCATATTTAAATTTAAAGCAAAGATAAGTGTACTTTTATAATAGCCGAGCTTCGACCCCGGACAGATCGATCGACGGAGCAGCTCTCACTCTCAGAACAATGTTTAATTCACGTGAATTCGTTAATAAACATATATGTTTTATATGCCTCAAGAAAGATAGGAATATAAGGCTCATTTTAAACACTTTACCATAGACATAATTAAAGTTCTAATGAAGATTCATGTGTTTTAAGGATCGCCGAGCTCCGACCCCCCCCCCCCAGACCGGTCCGTCTAATTACCACAAGCTACACAAGCTTTATAAAGCTTCCTGGCAATACGTTAGTAATGAATAAATGTGATATATTTACTCATTATAATGTTGATGATGAATGTACAACACGAAAAAGACTATACAAGATATAGTCTTGTAGTTTCTGACTAATAAATAATTTTGGTTTAATAAGTTATCAATTGGCTGGATACTGATACCTAGGTAGTTTTCGTGAGTCCGGACACCGGCGATAGGGTGGTATTATTTATTTAACTTAAGAGATATATATTTTTAAATGTTGTCACATTAACGGCTACATCTTCCTTTCTTCTGACATATAGATTTTTAAGGTTAATTAAAATATATGGAAACTAATTATACAATTTATTGGCTAGCTCCACAACATTGACGCTTGGACCGTCGACTTCCTTTGATGCCACTTATTTCATAATGAAATTATATTAGTTTGGAGTAAATATATGTTTTCTCATGTTCTGCATTCAGCACCCACATTATAGTGAGTAAATATACCATATTACTTCATTACCTAAATAATGCTAGGAGGGTTTGAGTAGCTTTGGGTCTTTAGTGGGTAGAATCTCCAATAGATGGGGCGAGAGTCGCCCCATCTCTGGCCCAAGCAAGAGTCAAAACTTAATTTAAAATTGATATATCTTTGTCCTCCAACATGATATATTTCATTTGGTGCAATCATAATAATGTTCATATCTCGGTCTTTCTGGAGGCATATAAGGCTTTATTAGCGTATCTTTGTTAATTACACAATATATCGGCAAGTGCGTAGGCGTCTACTCTCCATGCCCGACAAGCTACTGAACGCCACTATAAAAACATATGTATCTTCACTTGAGCTATAAATATGTCTATTGTAATGTATTTAAAATGAAGCTCATATTTTTATCTTGCTTAAGACATATAAACCATTTATGTTTATTAACGAATTTACGTGAAATAAACATTGATCTGAGAGAGCGTTGCTCTGTCGTTCAGTCTGTACGGGGTCGGAGCTCCGTAATTTTTAAAATACATGTATCTTCATTAGAACTTTAAATATGTCTATGGTAAAGTGTTTAAAGTGAAGCTTATATGTGTGCCTTTCTTGAGACATATAAAACTATTACGTTTATTAAGGACTCTGCGTGAAATAGGCATAGTTCTGAGATGAATACAGCGGGTTTCGAGCTCGACGAGCTATGAAAACTGCCACTTTTATACAACTACAAATATCTTCGGTTTTACTTAAAATATTTGTCTGGTAGAGGTTTTATATATAGATCGTGTCTCTGTCTTTCTTCTGACTAATAAATAATTATGGTTTAATATGTCATCAAGATGTTTTCAGCAATAATAATACCCTATTGGAAGCGCGATACTTGGGTTAACCCATCCTATCGTTGGGTCTGTTTCCTACTGAGGTTCGAATATATGCATATTATAATTTGGCGCCAATTGAAATATTTCCAGATTGTAAGTCATATAATAATTATTATAATTTACTAAGAACTACCAAAATTTCTCAAAAGTAAACTACGAGTCTACAATAGGATGCAGCTGATCCATGATATGCGAATAGGATGGAAAATATTACGCAAATATCTTCGGAAACTTGTGTAATGAATCATTCAGAACCTTATACACCTCATATGTGAGACCAATACTAATGGAATATGTGGCTCCAGCCTGGAATCCACATCTAGTCAAACACAAAACAAATTTAGAATAGGTTCAGAGGAAGAAAATACTGGAGGGACAGGTCCCAAATCTACACAGTAAAATAACAACGTACTGGAGTGAACGACATGGAAGAAAATGCAGAATAGAACCAGTGAAGAGCAGAGGTGCCATGGGCACAATCGGAGAACACTGTATGAACGGTGTTCATACAGTGAATACACTGTATTTACAGTCTCCGTGGTGTAGTGGTAAGACACTCGCCTGGCGTTCCGCGAGCGCTATGTAATGGGTTCGTATCCTGGCCGGGGAGGATTTACTGGGCGCAATTCCTTAACTGTAGCCTCTGTTTAACGCAACAGTAAAATGTGTACTTGGATGAAAAAACGATTCTTCGCGGCAGGGGATCGTATTCCAGGGACCTGCCCGAAACGCTACACGTACTAGTGGCTGTACAAGAATGTAACAACTCTTGTATATATCTCAAAAAAAAAAAAAAAAAAAAAAAATCAGAGGCCCACGGTTGTTCAACGTCCTACCAGCGAGCATCAGAAATATTACAGGAACAACCGTGGACATCTTTAAGAGGAAACTAGATTGTTTCCTTCAAGGAGTGCCGGACCAACCGGGCTGTGGTGGGTATGTTGGCCTGCGGGCCGCTCCAAGCAACAGCTTGGTGGACCAAACTCTCACAAGTCAAGTCTGGCCTCGGGCCGGGCTTGGGGAGTAGAAGAACTCCCAGAACCCCATCAACCAGGTATGCCAACAGGCTAGTCCACGAGCTGAGAGATATGAGCTATGAGGAAAGATTACTGGAACTGAACCTCACGACACTGGAAGACATAAGAGTTAGGGGAGACGTCATCACTTTCTATACAATTATCAGAGGAATTGACAGGGTCGATAAAGATAAACTGTTTAGCATGGGTGGGACACAAACAAGGGGACACAAGTTTCAGAGTAGTTAATAGATCGAATGCATTAGGCAATGGTGTGGAGGAGGCAGACTATACACAGTTGCAAATGTAGATATGATAGAGCCCAATAGACTCAAGAATCCGTATACCAGTTGACTGACAGCTGAGAGGCGGGACCAAACAGTCAAATCGCAACCCCCATAAACACAACTAGGTGAGTACACCAGAAGTGAGAATGGAAAATTACAATTATCGTTCAAATTTGATCAAACAGACTATTCTGGTGTCTACGGCGATGGAAAGGGTACTATGGGACAGGTACTATGGTACGCGAGGAAGGGTTGGTGCCTGGTGATAGGTAATAACTATAAATCTACCACAGGGAAACTGTGAACATTAGCAGCATAGGAACTATGATCATTATGTCCCTGAGCCCATTATGTGCCTCTGTAACCCTTTCCACTACCTCCCACAAGATGGGTATGGGGTGCATAATAAATGAACTAAACTAAACTATGCGACACAAGTACTATGGTATCCCGAGGACAGGTTGCAGTGTGAGGGGTGAGGACAGTGATATTCTTGTTTGGTCTACCACAGTGTGAAGATGATGACAGTGATGGGCTCGATTTAGTCTACCACAGGGTGAGAGTGAGGGCACTGGTGGCCATCTGAAAGTGATGGGTAAGGACGGAGACCTGCTCGTTCAGCTGGGTAACATCGGGCTCGGCCACTCTCAAGAGGTCTCGTAGGCTAGGGAAGGTGTCCCACAGGTATCCGTTGATAGAACTTGGTGCCAGGAACACGTGACTGCAGGGAAGATGTATACGTATATTATGTATACGTATATATATATATATATGTTTGATAGTATGCAAGCTAAAGTTATACAGACTACACATGACCAGCTCTTACTTGAGGGTTGGCCTGCCGGGAAGGCCTCGAGGAGCCAAGAGAGAACGATCCAACAGCATCATGGCGTCGTTGTACCGCCGGAGGGTCAGCTCGCTGTCGAAGACCAAGGCCCGAGTGTGAGATATAGAGAGAGACCTTACCATACAGAGTGAGCGAGTGTGAGCAACAATGAGAGGTCAGGGCAACGAGTCAGATACCAAGAACAATTGAAATGCTTTAGCTCACTTCCTATGTTCGAAATGCACTTCCATTAATGCTTCAAATACAAATAATTTGCAAACAGAACCTAACGCCTAACCAAGCTTTAACTATACTTGCTTACGAGGTCGAGTTGAGCATTTTAACATTTGTAGAGGTGCGATTCGAACAGAAAGAAGATTGATCGCCAACGTCTCTTGTAAGATCGTGTAAAGTCTCTTTCATTCATAAACAGGAAGTTGCCGGTTGGATTAATAAGCATTTGGCCTATGTTTTGATACTGAGCAAATTTCTTGAATAGAACGAGTTCTAAAATTACTTACTCACTTAGGTCCTCAGAATCCAGGTTGTTGGTAAACTCCTCTGCAGCGTCTTGCAAGGCATCAACACTTTCGTTCAGATATTCTGTTGACATAAAAGGAATTCTGAACATCTGCCAAACACTTTCCTCCCCGGCGGACACAAAATTGTGTCCGCCGGGGGTCACTTGAAAATCTGCAGGTGACCTATTTTTATGTCTGACGAACAAATATTAGTATAAAATTCAATTCTTCTCTGAGCGACATGGGGATAGTATGAACATGTTTGCCATAAAATTTACGTTTTCTTTAGTGGCCACATAGCCTATTTGGGAGAACGGCATTGTCTTGTATCTTCGTGGTAAAACTATTGTATTGTTGACACGACGAGTGTAATCGACGAAGTTACTTTACTTGGTGCCGGTCTAACGCATCCTTGTGTGACATTTTATACATATATTCTTCTAGAACATTCTATTGCGAACACATTGGTAAAAAATAAAATACGTACATCGAAAATTAAGGTCAGCACAGTGAAAAGAGTATACACTTTTCCGTGTTGCCGCTGGATGGCCTGAAACAGTGATTCCACTTTGAGCAAGTTTTGGTCCTGTTTGTGGAGTTATATATAACTTATATATAAAGTTATATATAGTTATAATTATTAATTTATAAATATAAAGTTATAATTATTAAGATATTTAATGTTCTATCATTTGTGTCCACAAGGTGTCGCAGGTGACAGGTCACACATTAATGATCAGCAATTTAGCGTGTGGATATAAATTAGATGACGCAAGAGATCTACCTAACAACATTAATTAGGAAAAGGAAAAGTGGCCATGTTAAGTGGCTTAACAGTAATAACAGAGAATACAGATAAACACAGATAACTAAGATTTAGAGTCGAACAAAACACAGATGGGATAATTAAGTGGAGAGTGGTGTAGGAGAGAGTAGTGTGGGGAGAGAGTAGTGTGGGAGAGAATAGTGTGGGAGAGAATAGTGTGGGAGAGAGTAGTGTGGGGGAGAATAGTGTGGGAGAGAGTAGTGTGGGGGAGATAATAGTGTGGGAGAGAGTGCAGATGTTGTGGGAGTGGGAAGAGAGTGGTGTTCCATTATTCACTTCCTGACAATCATTTTTGTTTATATAATTTTGGAAGGGATGCATGCTAGTGACAATGGTATTGTTTATAACTTACTCTGTGCTGCTCTCCATCTTGAATGATGGACAAATATTTGCCTTTTTCCAAAATTCCAGGTGATTGACGGCCTTCAATGTTAAATGATTATTTCCCTCCTGACTCCAGTATACTAATTTCTGGAAATAGCGCCTCCCATTTCCTCTGATCTCTATTTCTATTTGCTCTGATTCCTTCTATATTTATTTATTTACAAGAAGGTACAATGGGTTTCTGAGAGTACATAATATTGGTATTTTTACAGTCTTGTAAAGCCACTAACACGCATAGCGTTTCGGGCAGTGTTTTCATATGATCTGTACTATTAAAAGTACAGATCACTCAGACCTCTGTTGTGAGTGACTTGTACTTTTCACGTACCTTTATGACCTTGTCCATCTCTTTTGAATCAGGGATTTGCTTGCAGCTTTCTAGATGTTACTGCTGCTCAGCTTAGACTCGGCTATAAGTATCTCTGGGAATTTGTATTACCTGATGATGTAGACCTGACCAAATGTAAACTGTGTCAGCAAAATTATTGGCACACCCTCCGTCACTATGTGATGGAGTGCGAAAAGATACGTGAATTCAGAGACAATTCTATAATAAACGTGCAAGAAATCTGTAAATATTTAATTCAAAATGATCTGCTGCCAGAAATTTTAGCTAAATATTCAGTCTGCTACCTGTAGATAGTGTATGTGGGTGGTTGTAACCTTTCCACCGCTACCTACTGATTGGAGGGGGGGGGGGGGGAGGGAGGGCAGGATAAAGATATCAATTATGACACTACCTCATTACATATGTCAGTTGCTTGATTTAGAGATAGTAGTTGTGGTCGGTCTCGAACCCATTGTTGATGTAACAATATACATTAAATTTTGTAACTAGCTCATCAAGATTGTAACTTGCTTAGTTAAATGAATTTTAGGGTTCAGTCCCTCAGCACCATTATATGTATCTCTCTAGCCCTTTCTACTACCGCCCACAGCATGGGTATGGGGTGCATAATAATTGAACTAAACTCTTCTCGTCAACTTCCTGCGTGGGATAAAATGCTCTGTGGCCTCTGTTTAGTTCCGGATTACGAATTGCCATCGTTTCATTTATTGTCTTCCCCTTGTAATTCATTCTGCAGTTGAACTTTCTGTAGGTAGGGCCTTATCCTCCTGAAGTCCCCGAGTGTAGAGGCTTGCAATCCTCAGATCTATTCTGCGTTTGAAAGTGTGTTCGCTGACCACCAGTGTTGACGCTGTTGACACAGAAGGCAAGAATGCTGAAGGCGAGTCAGCAGATAAAAAGTTACTACATTTCGGCTGGAACGCATAACCGAATCTATTTCTTCAGCCCCAACCTACCTTCCTCCGTGTGTCTCATTCTCTCTCGTGTGTTTCCCACTCCCCTGTGTGTGTCTCCCCGCTCTCCCTTCCTCATCCCTATATGTCTTCCCCTCCGTCTCCTTCCCCTCTGTCCGTCACCTGTCGTGATGTTAAGTGAGGTCAACTGAGTTTCATATGAGTGAAGGAACTCTTTCCAGGAGGCGCTGATGAAGGTAGCGTAGGGTAGTACCCCGAGCGGCAGGAGGGGACGCGTGGAGAACTCCAGCGCTAGCAGGCCCCACAGTCTGTAGAAGACACGTACGAAATGCTGTTAAAACAATATTCCATAAAATAATATTGGTGTGAGTTTTACATTCTTGCAAAGTCACTAGCACACGTAGCGTTCCGGACAGATCTTAGCTGAGGTATTCATAATATGCAGACGATGAGTCACAATAACGTGGCTGAAGAATGTTGACCAGACCACACACCAGAAGGTGGAGGGACGGCGACGTTTCAGTCCGTCCTGGATTATTCTCAAGTCGATTGTCAGTCGACTTGAGAATGGTCCAGGACGGACCGAAACGTCGTCGTCCCTTCACCTTCTAGTGTGTGGTCTGGTCAACATATTCATAATAAGTTGGGACTCACTCGACCAGCGGAAGACTCACTCGACCAGTAGGGGAGACTCACTCGACCAGCGGGAGAGGGGGAACTCACCTTGCGGAGGCTTGATGATAGAGTAGTCCACGGTCCATGAGGCGAGTGTTCAATGTGTAGGTTTCGTAGGCTGTATGCCGGAGGGGAAGACCTTGTTCTCCCTGTGGTGTAAACATGAATAAATTCACGTGAACAAGTACATACTCCCCTCCCTTCTTCCCTACATGTTAATTCATCGTTACATCAACGTCATTAGATCAGCGTTGCCCCCCCGTGAAGGTGGGGAGGGGGAGGTTAATTCGCTTCGCGAAGATCAGTCAGAAAAATAAAATCACAAAGCACGCAACAAAAGCCAGAATCTGTTCATTCCATAAATTTCAGAGTTGTGGCGATAGCACTTTATTGAGCTGTCGCTGTTTACCATTTGTAATTTGTCTTGACGACAAAAGTGTGGGGGGGGGGGGACCGTTGAATAAATCCACAAGGGCCGTGATGAGGGTTCGAACCTACGAACAGGCAGAGGTCACGACCTCTCCGTAGGGTGCAGTTGCACCTCCACAGATTACCAGCTAATGATACTGGTAATGGCTCCAAAGGGCCACAACGTACGGGCTATTCATGCCCGTGCCACCTTTTGGGTGGCTTAATCTTAATCAATTAATCATCTACAAGCAGGATGTTCCCAGTTGTGCCTTAGTCAACTGCGCCACGACACGGTTAAAAGAATTGCAACCTAGAGTGCTACTACTCTCACTAGGATCCCGTAGCTTCTCCGAAGCCCAGTCGGGGTTTCAAATTTCTTCGCCTGTGTGTATTGGCATCGTTCCTTCAGCCTGTCGTCATATCCCAGCTTCTTGTCCTCCTATTCCTCCCAATTCCTATATATAATCCTCCTGGCTTAGCGCTTTCTGCTCATAATCAACTCATTAACTCACCGGGGCTACCGTGAAGCACATATCCATGCTGGAGATCCCCAGAGTGAACATGAAGGCCCGGTAGTCGCTGCCTGAGCCGATGGGCTCCACCTTGGGACGAACGACGCCGGTGGTGTTGTCTGGGAAGCGGTCAAGCCAGGTGTCGTAGAGGCTTGAATGACCTTTTTCTACTTCTTCTTGGTCCGGGTTAGGCACCATAGGAGCCAGCTCCATGATGATGTCGTGGAGCATCGGCACTCCCTTGGCCATGAACGAGTAGTTACCTGGACACATTAAAATGAGTACAAGTTGAATTGGATAAGATAAAATACGGGGTTAGCCCTATTTTTTTTATCAAATTAGGACAGTTAGTGCACGTCATGTTTGAAGACATGACTTTGGAGACTTTATCTTTGTAATTCTTTCGTACTTATATATTTGTTCAGTGAGTGAGCGTTCTCTTTAGGTGCTTTGCTAAAACTTATTTGATGTTCTCATAGGAAAAAGTAAGAGCTTGGGGGTGGTCGTCAAAGACTTTAGATCCCACTGGTTAAATTACCTGGAAAAACATCTCCTTTTCATCAAGATAATATTTGGTAGTGCTGTAACCTTCTAGAATATGACTAGAATCTTTCTAGTCTTCACGTTCAAAACTCTACTACCATCTCTCATCTTTATTGTCCTCTATCTCTTAGATTCAGATTCAGATTCAGATTCAGATGTTTATTCAGGTAAGGTATATACATACAAGTGATGTTACATTAATGGATTGATATATAGATAGAGCTAGTACATACAATGCCTAAAGCCACTATTACGCAATGCGTAATACTTTCTCCTTTCTCCGTTTCTTACTTTCTCCGTTCTCTCTATTTTCCCTCTGCCCTTCTTTCTCACCTCTCCCTCTATCTGTTTCTCCTCACTCAATCTCACCACTTTCATCCCTCTCTCTAACTCTCCCTCATTTTTGTTTACATTTCTGAATTTCTTCGGCCCCAAACTTTCCCTCCTCGCCCCCAAACTCTCCCTCCTCGCCCCCAGACTCTCCCTCCTTGCCCCAAAACTCTCCCTCCCTCCCTCTCTCTCTCTCTCTCTCTCTCTCACCTGTCATCACAGTCTCAACGTTGAGATAAACCACCGCTCGGTCTCTGAGGGTAGAGCTGAACTGCTCAGCATACTCCGTGGAGCCGATCACTCCAGGGTGGCCGGCCGCCCAGCTGCAGAACACCAGGGTCCTGTTGGCCAAGGACACCGACTCGTCAATGTTTGATTCCCGGAGAGGGGGATGTGATGATTCTCACAGTGTAACATGGGGGACGTAGATGGGCAGAGCATCTGGGCCTATAGGCAGCCATACACCGGCTGATAATGCTCTCTCAGCTTACCCAACATATGTTTGGCTTCCAAAATGCCCCTTTTAGGGGTTTCTATCACAATGCGGTTTAAATTACTGCTTGGGGAAGGGAATTTAATTCGTCTTGTTATGTAGTTATTGTTTCGTGGTACCAAAGAGTGTTGATATATTAGTTGCTGTACGAACTCTTATGCGTTGGATAAGATATTGAATTGCTTGCTTCAAAATATCAGTGCTTGATTTAATTTAAGTTAGTAGGTCGGCACAACAGCTTGTCTTACGCTAATTCTTGCAACTGTGTTTGTGTTTATAACTTCTAGTTTGTCTATGTTAATTATTATCTCTCTGGTTTAGTTTTCCTTTTACTAGGAGCTAAAATGCCTGTGATGTAAATATGTAAATTAAGTTATTTATATCTAAAATTATTTACTATATCCAATCTTTGGTCCTCTCCATTGCAGCTATTTTATTCCAGTCCTAATAATAACAGCCCTGGGGCGATTACATCCTGGTTGAAGGAACAGTCGTAGCACCTGATATATCTAAAAAGCTCCAAGGGCTGCTAGTGTAGAAAAAGTGAAACATAAAAAATGAAAATTTGTTGTTAAGTGATCAATTATATCATATACAAAGCAGATTGCTCTCGATTTGATCTAACTCACTGAAAATATTTTTGCAGAAGGCTCACTTACAAACTCTTTAGATATATTTATATGAGTTACTATAATTAAAAAGAAGTATACAACCCCCCTTGTTTCTCTCTCTCTCTCTCTCTCTCTCTCTCTCTCTCTCTCTCTCTCTCTCTCTCTCTCTCTCTCTGCAGAAGCACCATTCACACGCCTCTCACCTTTCCATTACCATGCCTTTTCCCCCTTCCTCTCTTTACACCACTGCCATCCTCCCCCTCTCCCCTCTGACTGACCTCCTCGGCCTCCACTGGTCCTTGTACATCTGGCCAAAGATTCTCGTGAGCTCGGTGAGTGTGGCCGTCGCCGAGGAGGGGTCGACACCCCCGTAGGTCCAAGCATCGTAGTGGTTGCCTAGCAAAACAAACCTGTCTGTGATGAATGAAGGAATGTGTTTTTTAGCGGCAAAAGAGAATTGTTTCCATAGTTGTATTAGTTAATGAACGACGCTGAAGGAGCAACAGAAGAATTGTTTAATATTATACGAGAGATATCTGGTGGGTTAAGGTTTAAAGCTCTTAAGCTTGTTTACATGAATCAGTAATCGTCTAACCCTTTATATATCTTCTGTATTAAATATATTACATGGGAGAGACCATTAACAAGAACTATTGCCACACAACCTATTTATCTGTAATATATTAATTGGCTATGCAAAGTTCTCAGGCAGTATTACAGGATAGCAAAGATGAAGACTTACCAGGCTCCAAGGACCCCTTCAAGACGCCCACCACATCCTGCACAGTCTTGGTGGTGAACTTGTTGTTCACTTCCAGCTTCACCCTCGCCCCGTTGTCCAGGCCAGGTCCCAGCCTGTAGGGGAAATCCAGACCTCCCTGCCACTCCTCAGGGGCCTCTGGTCCGCTCATAAGTCTGTTAGATTAAATACTTTTAATTATGCTCCGGCTGCTACAACTGCTCCCTACTACTATTTAGACTTCTGCCACTAACATCGACGCTAATATATCTCTCTTTCTCTCGCTATATGAGAGAGAATAAGAATGAGAATGAGAATTTTAGTGAGAAAGACTGCAGGAACACGCAAGCCATACACAATCGATTGGTGTGGTGGTCATAGTACTGTGTTCGTTTTGGGGTGATTCTGAATGCCTTGGGTTCGAATCCTGGTCAGATGATTTATATATATCATTAGTGATATATATAACATGTTTGTTTACCTGTACGAGGTTGTAGGCTAGACACTTGGGTCAAGCCTCACCCAACTTCGCAGGGTGGATGGTCTGGGATACGGGACAATATAGGTTGTTCGGGGTCTGTCCTACTGGTTGGAGCTAAGAAGGAGGGGCGGGGGGGGTGGTAGGACCGATCAGTAACCCCCCCTCGCCAACATCTAATCATTATGCTAAGATATGAAAACACGGGGCTATTCATGTCCGTGTCACCTCTTGGGTGGCTTAATCTTCATCAATCAATCCTGGTCAAGGCAGCAGAAAACAGTCGATACTCAAAAGTAAAATGACAAAAATCTTGTTATTAGCGACTATGAAAGCCGGAAGATTTACCTGAGGAGGTTTGAGGCGTCTCCGTACCCTACCGGCTGGACGGGTATCTTGGGCAGGTCGGCTTTGTCCAAGGGTATGCGATGGGCAGCCTCTGAGTACATGAATAGAAACAAAGCTATTCAGAACATGGACGAAATAAACCCAGATACACACAATTAGCAGTTATCACCTCGGCTTTTATGCACACAAAAGCGTGTTTTTGTTGTAGTGTGATTTTCAAAAGACGGCTCCAAGCCGGGGAGATTATGCAGCACCATCTGTATCACTGGACATTCTGAAGGCGTTAATGTCCAACAAAAGAACATTGAGGCGATCGATATCAAATGAATCGGACACAAAAGGGAAGTGAGAGCGACGAACACTCGGAAAATCAGGACATTCTACAAAGAGATAGAACATTACATAATAAATTGTTAATGATTTTCGTATAGACTTATAAATATATCTCAGTGTGGGAGCGTGTGGAATTCTGCATCTTAGCTGTGGCGAGGTACTCTGGACCTTACCTGTGGCAGGGTAACCAGGTGTGAGGAGATCTCCTTGGAACCTGAGGGAGTCCAGCCGAGTAGCACCCGGAGGAGCAAACACCGTGGAAGGGAAGGTAAGGTTGGCTCCTAAGGGCGCTACGTCCGCGGGATCGCTGTACAATATGACTCCTTTTGCCCCGCGAGCTTCAGCAAGCATTACCTTCAGGAGCAGGAGGAAGGATCATGGCTGTGTATGAAAGAGAGTGGTCATGATTGTGTATGGAAGTTAGGATGTATGGACGGGTGAATGAGTGTATGAATGTTGGTATAAAGCTATATAAATGACTACCAGGAAAACAAGCGATGAGTCACAATAACGTGGCTGAAGTATGTTGACCAATCCACACACTAGAAAATGAAGGAACGACGACGTTTCGGTCCGTCCTGGACCATTCTCAAGTCAAGTCGATCACAATCGACTTGAGAATGGTCCAGGACGGACCGAAATGTCGTCGTCCCTTCATTTTCCAGTGTGTGGATTGGTCAACACCAGGGAAAACAACTTTGATGTTATCTTTTAGATTGTATCAACACAATAATATATAATCACAGAGAGCCTTTTCTCCCTTGTCTCATACCTTGTCTCCTGGTAGGACCTGGCCGTAGCGGACGATGACAATGGAGTCCTTAACGACAATGTTTTGGTCCTCTAGGTACTGGAAGTCATCGCTGGAGCCGTAGTTGGCGTAGACCACACTCTTGCTCTGTTACTCAGGGATGTATGTCCAGTCACTTTCAGTTTGAGAGTCGAGCATTTTTAGCAATATTTGTCAAGAAACTATATCAGATATCTTCGTTGGCTATTGAATATATCATTTGGGATTTTAGGGTTTACCAAAGAGAGCGAAATTTAACACACCTATTTATTCCTGCTAAGAATCATACAGCTCATGTATGATTCCTCCTATGAACAGACAGCATATTTAACAAATATAAGGAAGTATGTGTCAAAATGTTGACCAAACCACACACTAGAAAGTGAAGGGACGACGACGTTTCACTCCATCCTGGACCATTCTCAAGTCGATTGTGGTCCAGAATGGTCCAGGACGGACCGACATGTCGTCGTCCCTTCACTTTCTAGTGTGTGGTTTGGTCAGCATATTTCAGCCACGTCATGCAGAAGAGGAGTCAAGGTAACTCCTCTTCTGCATGTGTCAAAATATTCGTCTTATCACTCTGGAAATGAACAAATAAGAGTAGACTCGGGACTCACCTCGGCTGTGCCCACCCCAGAGAAGGCGCTGAAGGAGAGGATTTGGTCTTGTCCTGCTGGAGGAGGGTCTTCAAGGGACGGCTGGGTGTTTGACGATTCGAAGATTTCGTAGTTTTCAGAATCCAAGATGTAGAACTGGTGAGTGTATGAAACGTGTCTTAGAGGAATCAACTTTAGCTACTCAGAACGAAATGTCCATGTAGCACGGTCTATAGTGAGCCCGTAATAAACATAACATGCCCTCGCTTCTTAAAATATAAACACTTAACTCACCTTATTGGGCTTCTCTGGGTCAGGAGAAGCTAGGAGGACCTTGTACTCCAGCACCTTGACCGGATGAAGACCGTGAGCTCTCCATCGAGTCGCAATTTCGTTGGCTAGAACCTTTTCTCTTTCCGAACCCGCAGGGTGTGTTTCTCTGGTCAGGAAGCTGGGAAGGTGAGATGGTGTACATATAGCGTACTCCAGAAGTCCATATGATACCTATTTTATTTCTGGGTGAATAGTAAATCAGAACAAGAGACTAGGTAGTTTCACTCAATTTTTTATAATCAGTCACACGCAGACTGACTGGCTGAGTTACTCTGGTCACATAATAAGCATATATACATAGTGCTAGAGGGATTAGAAATTTTGCAATACTCCAAGAAAAACGGGATTTTGCAGTTACATTCTAAAATTATGTGAAAAAAAAAGATTATATGTAAATGATATATACATATGTTTACCTTAAATTTTCATTTTCTAACATAGTTTTCTAAATTACAGAAAATGTATTCAATGACTATCTATGTTATTTAGAGTCAATAATAGAAACAATTCGAATTCAATAATTCAATTTAAGATGAATAAATGGTTTCAATACACTCTCTCCTTACCTCAAAAATTCATGAATATTATTTGTGTTTACATTGTTGATAATGTACTGTTTGTAGTCTTTGCCACCGTCAGTGGGACTCAGCGTCACTGCATTGAAGGAAAAACATTCATTAAATAGGTTGATCTATGTCCCCCTTTGCTAACTACTGACCATTCTCAGAATAGCCAGTCGTTAGCCAGGAAGAAACCGGAATAAGTGTAAGATACTTTGGGTTTTCCAGTGTCAGGGACAGAACTAATCGGTTATATTTCCACTTCCATGAGTATTTAGCTATAGGATAGCATCTTAACACCTTAAGAACCTACCCACGAAAGTGATGACGATGATAGCCAGCATCAAGGTGACCGAGACGGCTACTGTGATGGCCAACGATACCTTCATCTCCATCTGTCGTTGAGGGGTGCTCCGTCGTTTGAGATTGTTGCTTCCTGTCGTTCTCTTACACTGTAGGTTGTAAACTAACTAACTGTCGTTCCCTAACACTGTAGGATGTCACCAAATCGTTGCAGACTACAACTATTAACCCAGAGAGGAAAGCCTCTAAGCGCTTTCTTTTCTTGGAGTTTCTTGACTATTTTCTGCCTGAGAGTCACCCTCAGAGCACAGAAATAACCACTGAGCCCTGCATGTGGGTGTGTTAGCGTGGGAGATATTAATATATGGAAGATAACAGCAGCGGGGGAGGAACAGTGTTATCAGATGATATCCCCAGGGTCTTCGACCTTCAACAGAGGGGTTGATTCGAGGGGTGTACACGTGCATTTGCACGTGCGCTGTCAGCTAGTCAAGATTGTAGGGTTGAGCTCCAGCTCCACAACCTTGACTGGAGCCTTGAGCTTCAGCTCCGGGGCCTTGCCTATCTTTCAGCTTTCAGCAGAAAAAAAATGTAATTAGGTTAGGTCGGGATATATTTCATATTATTTATATTTAGTGGAACAATTTTTTTCAATTAAATAAGACAATTTTAATATACAAGATATTTCCTTTTCACCTAAACCAAAGAATCTGCCTTTAAAGGTGAAATTGAGTATAACTTTGGATTGTCAATAAGCAGTCTGAGAGCAATAGTACACCAAGAATTTCAACAAAATCTTGTAGCTCTGAGGCAAAGTGAAATCGACAATAGTAATTCCACATACCATCATACTGTCATGCAAGAGGAGCCACACATCTATGGATCATCCAATAAAATCAGCAGACTTCTAGATGTTACTACTGCTCGGCTTAGACTCGGCTATAAGTATCTCTAGGAAGTCTCATTATCTGCCGATGTAGACCTGACCAAATGTAAACTGAGTCAACAAAATTATTCGCTCACCCTCCGTCACTATGTGACGGAGTGCGAAAAGATATGTGAATTCAGAGACATTTCTATAACAAATGTTCCAGAGATGTGTAAATATTTCATCCAAAATGATCTGCTACCAGAAATCTTAGTCAAATATCCCCAGTTTGCTAACTGAAGGTCACAGTGTCACAATTGATATGTTTGTCCTGTACACCGCCCCCCATCCAATGGGCAGCGGTGGATAGGTTACAATCACTTAGTTACTACCTACAATTAGCAAATTGGGGATATTTGGCTAAGATTTCTGGTAGCAGATCATTTTGAATGAAATATTTACACATCTCTGAAACATTTGTTATAGAAATGTCTCTGAATTCACGTATCTTTTCGCACTCCATCACATACCTTGAGGTTACCTTGAGGTGCTTCCGGGGCTTAGCGTCCCCGCGGCCTGGTCGTCGACCAGGCCTCCTGGTTGTTGGACTGGTCAACCAGGCTGTTGGACGCGGCTGCTCGCAACCTGACGTTTGAATCACAGCCTGATTGATCAGGTATCAGTATAGTAACGGAGGGTGTGCAAATAATTTTGTTGACACAGTTTGTTGTTGTGTCACACCCGCACACACACACACACACGCACACACCAGGCCAAAACCGTCAGTAATTTCAAAGCATTATATGACAAAGAGTGCAGGGAAGACGGGACACCACGAGCGTAGCTCTCATCCTGTAACTACACTTAGGTAATTACACACACACACACCTATCCCTTTGCTATCCTCCCCATCCCATATAAGCTTCGGCAAGACCCGAGTGCTCCATGTATCCCACATTCCACCACCCTCCAAATCCCCTGTTAACTACCTCACAGAGCAACAGCCACATCCAAATAGCCCCGCGCTCACAACTTCCTACACCAATGGAATGAACGTCCTTGCCCGAAACGCTGTGCGTATTAGTGGGTTTTAGGTATAGCATGTACAAGATCTATCTAGAAATCCAACATTCTGTTTGTAACTCATTTTAAACGTATGTGCTTTTACCTGAATAAATATTATTATTATTATTATTATTATTATTATTATTATTATTATTATTATCAAGGTGAGAGTAAGTGAGAAGAACGAGAGCTTCAAAGCAATGTACTCTTTAATGGGATAGATAGATGAGATTTCAACTAAAGCAAGCGAACTTGGGGAAAGTTCGCAAGAATTAGTATATCATTAGTATAACACAAAAGACCAAAATACATTTATTGTGACTGACTGGAGGGACTTCCGTCAATCACTATTTGCTTTTATGTAATATGTTCAAAGAGCTACAGTATCACTTATGGAATGAAACAGTATCACTAGCAGATACAGCCAAAACATAATTTCATAAATATTATTCAACTCTTATAGTACAAATTTCCCCTTCCCCCCTCAAAAAGAGGACTATAACAGGAGATATGTGAGTGAGTGAGTGAGAAGATCTACACGAAACCAGCCAAGCACGGCTCATCAGTCTTGCCGTCGTGTGTACAATATAGGATTAGTGAGAAATGGGAGAGTGTGACTCTGGCTTCGGGCTGAGAAGTAGCACTGGGCTGGCGGGAGAAAAACACAGCTTTAGGGCGCTGGAACAAAATTGGGATGGGGCCAAACTCAGACTTACGGCTCCACGTAGGGTTTAAACCTTTCTACAAGAGATGGGATTCCTCGTAACCATTACGACAAAAAGGCTCCAGCCCATTTGTTTACATGTCGAGGCGGGGAGGGGGTGGGGAGGCGGAAAGGAGATTGAAGAAGAGAGAAAGAGAGAGAGTGAAGAAAGCAGAAAGGGAGACTGAAGAAGAGTGAGGAGTTGAAGAATAGCTGACAATTAGACTGTATTTGTGAATGTAGTATAATTTGAGGAAGTATGATCTACGTGTTGAAGATTATACCATCATCTTCAATTATAGAAGCCTAGCCACTGTCTTACCCAAGACATCTGCGTGTTTCTAAATCCAAAATCTTTAACTAAATTCTCTGACTTCAGCTTGAGTTCTCCTAAGGCCAAGGATTCATTGATGGTTCATGTCATCACCCAGTGATGTCTTTTACTGTCTGGATTAAATGCCGTAAATCTTAACTGTGTTCCCTATAATAGCAATCCTACTGAAGGAAGTTAACTGCGGATAGATTGTCCTGAATGTAGTTTGTTTT